TTGGATGTTTCAGTTTCCTTTTACTTCATCATTTTGTTGTCATTTTCTCTCTTCTGTTGAACTCCTTCATCTGCTTTTTGACCAGAAACTTGAAAATTCTCCTTTAGATCTCGGTTTCCTTCTTATTCAATGAAATACTGTCTTAACTGTCTTCTGCTGTCTCTTTTAAGTCATTTTATTCATCCGCGTTTTTTTCTTTTACAGCTTCTACTTGGTGGTTTTTTCATTTTCATTTTTTCACTTCATTTTGTTCCATTGGATGTTTCAGTTTCCTTTTACTTCATCATTTTGTTGTCATTTTCTCTCTTCTGTTGAACTCCTTCATCTGCTTTTTGACCAGAAACTTGAAAATTCTCCTTTAGATTTCGGTCTCTTTCTTATTCAATGAAATACTGTCTTAACTGTCTTCTGCTGTCTCTTTTAGGTCATTTCATTCATCGGCGTTTTTTCTTTTACAGCTTCTACTTGGTGGTTTTTTCATTTCCATTTTTTCACTTCATTTTGTTCCGTTGGATTCTTCAGTTTCCTTTTACTTCATCATTTTGTTGTCATTTCCTCTCTTCTGTTCAACTCCTTCATCTGCTTTTTGACCAGAAACTTGAAAATTCTCTTTTAGATCCCGGTTTCTTTCTTATTCAATGAAATGCTGCCTTAAATGTCTTCTGCTGTCTCTTAGGTCAATTTATTCATCCGCGTTTTTTTCTTTTACAGCTTCTACTTGGTGGTTTTTTCATTTCCATTTTTTCACTTCATTTTGTTCCGTTGGATTTTTCAGTTTCCTTTTACTTCATCATTTTGTTGTAATTTCCTCTCTTCTGTTCAAGGTGTTCATCTGCTTTATGACCAGGAACTTGAAAATTCTCATTGGGATTTTGGTTTTTTTCTTATTCAATGAAATGCTGCCTTAACTGTTTTCTGCTGTCTCTTTTGGGTCAATTGATTCATCCGCGTTTTTTTCTTTTATAGCTTCTACTTGTTGGTTTTTTCATTTCCATTTTTTCACTTTATTTTGTTCCGTCGGATTTTTCAGTTTCCTGTGAAATTTTCCTGTTATCAGTGAAACCCTTGCACTTTTTCCCGTAAAACTGGAATCTGTTGTGTGCAATTGTAAAGAGCAATAACACGTCTATTTATTATTTTAACAACTTCGCTAATTTCCAAAACGAGTATTTAGTCATTAAGAATCATCTATCGAACGTTCATTATTAGTAATTAAATTTTTCACTTCTTATCAGCGTTGATAACACTATCAGTCTAATTCCTGATAAAACAGGTACGATTTCAACATGAATGTATGCATAAAACATTAGTCATCCTTCTAAAAAAAGGGCGTATGTGAGTGAGTGTTTTATTGAGGAACTTCAGAACTTATTCAGTGAGATGTTGTAAGGGCCAATTTACTAAATAATTACATTCGTCCACACACATTGAAGTCAACAGTCACACATCTTAATTAACCTTAACAGTTCGCATAAACAAACACGATGAGTTTGGTGACTAATGACTATTTTAAACTATTATTTGTTTGGACGATCTAGAAAGAGTTTTACTGGCGATGTCTTTAAAATGTTCCAAATATTAGGATTCTATGGGCAATAAAAGCATTGATGGTGTCTATGTTTCAGGGCACGTCCAGCCACTTGGCACAGGCATTTGACCATGTAGACTGTGACTATGAAACCGAATAAGGACAAACTTTGCATGTGGCCGGACGCCAACAAGTTTCTCATCTTCCTACCCCTACTACTTCAGCTACTAGGTGACGTCATTGGTACCAGCGATGACATCACCAACATTTGGTACTTCGGCTGCAGGTGGTTTGGAGGCTCCACCAACATGCTTTCCTGCAACTGCACGCCCGAAGCCGAAGAGGTAAATGTTGAGCAATAAACTGTGGCTTTTGATGGTAGTAATTCATTTCAATTCCCAGCAATATCAATTAGCTTAATGAGCCGAATATAACGACTTTGATTGGGAGCAAGTACTTTTGTCGGACGGCCTGTTTATTTAACCCGTGCAGTAAATGAACCGTTTTAGAATCGTTCTGCTTCAGTAGATTAAGTGCTATGTGTGATGATTTCTGATTTTATGATGTTTTTTCTATCTTTTCCAGCTTCTCGATCGGTGGATCGAGTTTAGAGTGTTTTAAGGGTTTAAACCAGTGTCGTGCGCCAATGAATTAATTGCGATATTTTGCTGTCCTTTGCCTAAAAATCTCTGGTGATGGTGTCAGTTTTAGCACATGAAAAGTCTTTTGCATCTGGAAAATCGACAACATCGCATCTAGCCTGGTTTTTCCGCAATAGGGTGTTTTCACTTTTTCTTTAATGCTGATATATAGAAAGCAGTTATGGCAAACATTATAACACACTGATATAAATTTTTTGCAATAAAAGTCTCCATAATAATTTTAAAGCGAATTTAAATTCAAATCAGATATTTTCCGCCAAAAACGCCGAATCCGTATCGTCGGTTGCCTATCCCGATTATGACGTAGCAGGTCATATCAACAAAGTGTCTCGTCTTTATTTCGTTGTTTTCGCAGCTTTGTTTTATTACTTAAGTTATTGTTATTATCATTATTTTATTGATTATTATCTTGCATAATGAAAAATAGTGACATGTATGGATCACAAAATATGTGGTGTTTTGTGCCAGGATGCAAAAATACCTCAATAAGAGCTCCAAACAAACTCTTTCTAACCGTTCCTCATGATTATGCACGTAAAGTTTTATGGTTCAAAGCAGCTAGACGTGATGTTCCTAAATCAAAATAAATGTTTTTTTGTTGTTGCGAGGATCATTTTAATGAAAGTACGAACAAAAAGCTAATGATGAGGCAGACAGAATATTCCTTCGATCGTACTTTGTGTTGTGGGCAAATTGTACCTTGTACAGTGCACAAAGAACCCTCGCGTTTCCATTCCACATATCCGATATCACCGTATTGTTCTCGTGATGCTCAAAATACAACTTAAAAGTTTATTTTACTTTTAAAGCAGCCATGTGCATAGGTTAGGTTAAGTTGAAAAAGTGAAATTCTATATATTATTTAGCTAATTTAAACCAATACAGACAGATTAGTATATTAAGGAGAGAGTAACTAATAATGAATTTACGGATTTTTGCTGACGCTGCTGCTTTGAGACCCTTAAATTGGGCTGAATTAAAGCGTTCGTCGTTTTTTAAAAAATCGGTTATCATAAAAATATGTACACATGGTAAATTGTTTGTTGACGCTTTAAGGAATCCTTGAAGCCATTTTTTAGTTTAACACAATCTGTAAATTATTTAAATCTACAAAATAATTAATGAAACGCAACCACACAATTAAACACTATGCACAGAACGTAAACAATCCGCCATTTATATGACCAGAGACGTCACAACCAATATGATTGCGTTTTAGAGATTCATGAATAATATGAATTTTAGCGGCATAGGTTTATTAAATATTTAACAAAATAGCAATAGATAGATAGTATAAACTTATTTAATCTTTCATATATACAGGGTTATTCACGCTATACGGCACGGACGTTTGCGGCTAGCCCGTTTGTTTGCCGAATAACCCTGTATATATTGTCATAGATTAATGTTCAGTTTGAAGGAATTTTTGATACAATGAAAACACCCTATTGGTTGGTTTCCATTGACAGACGACGATAAAATTCACTAAATTTTGACGTCTCGTATAAAAATCCCTGATGACGGTATTGATTCGAAACTTTGTCTGTTTATAGAAGATGCCAAGTTCTTTCGCACGCAATAATCGCTACAACTGGATCGAATCTAGTTTTCTTGCAATCGGTTAGTTTGCATTGACTGACATCGATATAGGCCTGGGTGACTCAGTGAATTTTTAGGAGTTGGCGCAATGCTGCGCAAATGGCTTGATGCGCCAACCAAACGCACCGGCGCAGTAACTCAGTTCCGTTGCTGGGAAAATGTTGATGTTGATTTATGATATTCTCTGTTTTTTATGTATGATTGGTGTTCTTTGAGTCCTTTGTGTAATGGTCTTGAGGTTTCTCCTATATAAATTTTTTTGCATTCGCAAGGAATTTTATAAATTACATTTTTTGTATTTTCAATTATATCATGAGGTTTTGTTGCTGAAATTTTACTTCTAATTGTATTTTCAGTTTTGAAGATAGTCCTAATATTAAATTTTTTACCTACTCGTTTAATTTGATCTGAAAGTCCTGGAATAAATGGAATTAAAAGGTTCGTAATAGGTTTATTTTGATTTTGTTTTGTTCGTGGGAATTCAATTTCGTTAAAACATTTTTCAATAAAAGAATTTGGATAATTATTGAAATTTAGAATTTCTTTTATAAATTGTTTTTCTTTGGAAAAATTAGA